TCGTATACCTGTGCTATCACTGTATATGCAAACACCTACAGACATATTCAAACATTCACTAAAGTCATACAATATATATGCGATGAAAATTATAAACACAATTTCATATCAAAAGTACTTATTATCGGTCATGAAGTGAAAGATTATAATTGAATGTTATTTTCAGTTCTTATTTGAGTAAATATATTGAAAAAAAACAATTCATCAAAAACTTAATAATAATAAAATTAATTTTTTAAAATTATTAACATATAATAATTACTTTTATTTTACTTGAATGCATTTATGTTATGAATATAGAAATATATTTTAAAAATTATATAATTTATAGTACATTTTAATTAATATAAAAACACTCATTAAAAGACTTTCAAAGTTTAAAAAATGATTTTTGCAAAAAATAGACAAACATATTATCTCTCACTTCTTGATGAACTGTATTTACAGTGCGAAAAACTTGACGTTTGTAAACCAAAAAAATGATAAAATGATTGTTTAGACATAAGTGTTGTGTATACATAATTTATAGCTATTTGAGTATTGTATTGTATATAAATTATAAGCAAAAATATTGTTAAAGTTAGCCATTAAAAGTATGACATGTTTTCATCAACATATATATAAATTTATATATATATATATATATATATATATAAAGAAGGCATGAGAGGACCAATCATTAGCAGTGAATTGAATTTTAAATGAAGAATAAATGAACAATAAATTGAAGTTTAAGAATAATAATGAGACAAATAATAGTGATTACACTATAAGTAAATGATTGCTATGATTGTAGACATACCATAACATAACAAAACACAAACAAAAATTAAGTACTAATTGTMTGAAAATAGCATACTATTTATATTTTTAAAAAATCATCTTTTTATAAATCATAACATTTCCAGTTTAATCTATACTTTTAATAATTTATTATAAATTATAACTTGATGCATCCATTCAATGTTATCAAGCTCATTTTATTTACTTATAATTATTCAGTTTATATTATAAAATAAGCTTTATATAAAAATCTTAAAAATTATTTGTCAGAGAAATACATTAAGCAAAATAAGATTATCCTCATATAATTAACTGAACTAATTATAAATTAAAATTTATAATATAATCTCAATATACCATCATTTGCATTGAAGTTCAAGTGAAAGTCAAGTTCACGTCTCATATAATATTAATTATAAATATATATTTAATAGTTAGTATTAAAAATCCTTCAAGTTATTTACAGTATATTTAAATTAAAATATTATTTGTTAATTTTTAAATGTAATGTTAAATATATTTATAAAATTTGTAAAAAATAAAACGTAAAAATATGAGATGATAAAAATAAATAATAAACCAAATGCTTTATATAAAATATTCTTATTAAACATAAAAATTAAAACATAAAACAAATACAATAATGAATATATAATTAATCAAAAGCTTACATAATAACCAAATAATAATAGTAATAATAATAATAAATTTTAAAAAATAATATTTATAATAATTAAAGAGAAAGTGCATAACTTTTCCTTTAAGTTAATAATTATAATTACATGATTTCAAACATTAATACTTATACATAATTTTTGTTATTGAGATTTATAACTAAAAATAATAACAAGATATAACATAATTTTTATAATTTTAATTTATTTTTATGACATTTTATAACATTTAATAGATTTTACAATCAATTGAGCCTTCTCATTTTTTCAATCAATTAATATAAAAAAAATATTTCATATACATGTATACTATATAATATATTTAATTAAAAAAATAATATTAAAAAACAAATAAAAAATTACACATAAATAAACATATTTTTATGACATTAGCTTTTAGCTCAATTGAAACCAATAATTTATAAACAATTGATATAATTTGTGTCAATTTAATTATTACTGAATTTTTATGTTTTCAAATAAACTATATTCGTATTATCTAATTGTAAACGTAATATCATAAAAATAAAATTGTTTTCACATGTAAATCATTCATTATTGATTGCATACAGTATTACCTCATAAATGCCAAAAAAAATTTGTTTTTTATTGTTGTTATGTATAATATAATCTAATATATAATTTATATATATATATTAGACTTATAAGAGTGAGAAGACATGCAAAACTCTTATCCACATTAATATAATTGTCTCGACAATTGACAACAATTTTTAGCAATCATATGTTTTATATAACATAAGTTTTTATGAGTTTACAAATTAAAACTTTACTAGTTATTATTATTTATTATTATTATTTAGTATTATTATTATTATTTTATTATTATTATTATTATTATTATTATTTAGTATTATTATTAATTAAATTTTATTGTCTTTGTCTGTTTATGTTAAAAAGATTTAATATAAAATGGTAAATGCAATATATATATTTTGTTTGACAATTTATAGTAATGTTTTGATTGCTTACTTATCGTGAATATATATTATATAACTTAAAATTAATATTATTATATTTTGTTATTATTATTACATAAATTTTGAAAAAATATCACATTTTAGAATTACGTAATAATAATAATAAAATTAATAATTATTAATACAGAAATATAGTAATAATAAAACTGACAGATATAATATATAAGCGATAAGATAAGTACATATATATATATATATATATATATATGAAGACCTTTAGTTTTATTTGTGTTGTAGTTTAAGATCTCAACTACAATAATCAAACATTGAAATTATGATTGTTATATTGGCAACAAAATTATAAATATAAATATTATCGAAAAATAACATAAATACAACTAAAATTTCAATTAAACATATTTTTTTCGTTTGTTTAACTCTTTGATCTTATAAGATATTTTAAAATGTCATTTTTATTGATTACAATTTTTATAAACAAATGACACAAAATAAACAAAATTGAAAAAACAATTTACAATATTTTTATACAAATTATTAACGTACATCAATTTTTCAAAAATGATTAAATGATATAATAATTGTCATTAAAATTAACGTATATAACCTATAAAATAATAATAAATGATATAAATTAGAGAGCAATTTATATATATATAAAAAATTGTTTTTAAGTCATTAAAATTTATTAATTAATGTTGTTTTTTGTTGCTATTATTGGCTTTTATCTTAAACGCTCTTTTTATATATAAATCTTGGATTAGTTTAGATGCCCTGATGTTTATATTTAGAAGTTAATCATAAGCATTGGATAAATTATGATACAATTAATGAGACATTTATATGTATGACATGACATGACATGACATATGAGATGACAAGAATGACCACAAAAATATTAAATATTTAATATAAAATGCTATGAATTGAATTGTATGATAAAAAAGACGGGATAACAATATATTATCAAAGTGTCTTAAAAAACTGATAAAACATGAGGTAACTGTTCGACTAAATCTATAGATATTTTTATTTATTAAATTTTATCAAATATTTATATACAAACATATACACCGAAACCATATTTAAAAAGTAATAAATGTGTGCATAAAATTAATGACACTTTAATAATATTAATATAAGTAATAATAATAATAGTTATTATTATATATGAAATAAATTTATAACGTTTTTACGTAATATACATTTCTGTATTTATATTATACGTATAAAAACTAAGATATTTTTGTGTATTTGTTTCAATACACCAATAAATATATATTTAAATATTAATATAAATAATGAAATGATATTTCAATTTTTTCTTATAAACTTTTACAAATTTTTGGTAACATTAGCCAATAATTTTTCGGAATTACTTTATTTATTTAAAAAATATTTGCAACTTTAATAAAAATAAAAAATTATAAATGAAAACCAAATAATAATAATAATATATATATATATATAAATGAGAAAATATTTTATAACTGTAATTATTATATACTTTATAAATGATATAATATTTAATAATAATATTAATAATAGGCACAAAAATAAAAATTAAATATAATAAAAACAAAAAATGGTGATAAAAATACGCGATTTGAAGTCGTTTGAAATTTAGACCACAAATCAGGTAATCTCAGCGCCAAAAATCATATTTACAATTAATAATATAATTCAGTTCAATAATTAAAATCATTGTATGATTGATTAAATAATGTTATATTTATATTTCTCAAGTATTGTTATCACTGAAATTGTAATCTGATTTTGTGTGCTTTTTATTGGATATTTTTGCTTTCAAGTTGTTTTATATTTTTAATTATATACATATAAATGAATAAATAAATACCCATTATATTCAACAAAACATAAAATATTTGTTAATAATAAAAATTATATTATATATATATATATATATATATTTTGAGGCAAAAATTTTAATGAAAATTATTAATATATTTTATTTTTTATCGGTATATTTTTCACATTAGTGAAAACATTGATTTTTCTAATGTTTTGCATACTATATATTGAGGGTTTAAATGCATTTTTGTTGATAGAATTTTTATATTATTTTGTGCTATAAATTTGTTACTTTATATTACATATTATTCATAAAATTTTTCTTTAATGATTTTTTCAATTTCTTAAAAATTATATGAATTTATATATAGATATTTCACACGAATAACAACTTCTATATTTCTCTGTCCTTTTAAATAATAATTAATAATAATATTTATCACTCCTATCTTTTGAAAATATAAATATTTTATAAATTCAAAGCTAAAAAATTAATATTTATTTAAAATTTTTAGTTTTTCGCTTATAATACTATTTTTGTTTAAAAATGCTTGCCTTTATATATATAAATATATATATATATATATATATAAATGTGTTTTGTTGTTTATTTATATTTATAATTATAATTAACGTATATATTTAAAATGTTTCTGTTTATTATTATTAGGTTTAATGTCAAGTATAGTATTATTTTAGCATTAATTTAGTTATAATTTTCAATTTGATATGAAAAGACCTAATAATCTAATTTTAAAACTCTTAATCCATGAGTTTTGTTTAATTTACTGATTAATGAAATCGATGGCTAATCCAGAGTCCAATTTCAATGAGTCACTTGTGAGCAGTTGGTGGCGGAACCGGTCTCTCATAAAAACCATTAATTATGTTTAGAGACCATTAATAATATGTTGTAAGTCTATGAGTTAATCAAATTGGCGAGACTGGTGTCACCCCAGTCCTCACCCAATATATCGGTCACTTCGGGAGCATAATCGGGAAACTCGAAGTGTGATCCCGAACTCGATGAGGCCGTGTCCATGTTGTCCAATACTGATATAGGCGTCAAGTTAAAACTTGCCAACTCTTGAGCCCAGTTTGATTCAAACTGGAGGACATCACTCAAGTCGTCTAAATCTGAGAGACTGACGGATGAAGAGTTAGATGTGAGTGACGAGGCCTTGGATGTGGTTGGAGTTAACAGCGATCCAGTATTGGACGGAATATGAATAGCGTTTCCGGTGAGCGCACCGATCGTAAGGTCATTAATGGCAGTACCAGTGAATGGCGAGCCAGTGATTGTCGTTGTGGTCGGGAAAGGAGTCGTAGTCGGTGTCATTGGAGTCATGACGCCAGTGGTGTCGTCAGTCATGAACTCATCGGTATCGGCACTGGACTTATCTAAGCAAATGTCATCATAAAAGGACAGATTGGCACTTTCGGGAGAGCCGGGAGAATCCGATGCGCCCGGACTTGAGGGCACTTTGGCCGGAGGGGTCAACTGACTTACGGCCATCGGAACCGCTTTGCTTTGTCTGATACTATCTTTTAATTTTTTATCGATCGTTAGCTTGAATTTCAATCGACTGTTTGAGTTGAGAGCGAAAGACAGCGCCGGCGATGACGTTGTTGAGTGGCCGCCGATCGCCAGACGCGAACTGTGCGCAGAGCTCTTAACGACTGAAGACATACCTGAAGACACTTTATGCCTGTTGTTGGCTACAGATTTGGCCGGTGAAGAGCCCATTCCGGGAGACAACTGCGGTGTTGTGGCCGATGGTGTTACGTTGGGCGCTGTCTTCACCTTCTTTCGTGGTCTATATTTATAGTCCGGGTATTGTTGCATATGTAGGACACGGAGTCGTTCGGCCTCTTCAATGAAGGGATGTCTTTCATCGTCAGCCAATGTTTTCCATCTCTTTCCTAATCTTTTACTGATCTCCGCGTTGTGCATATCTGGCTGTTGTTCGCAGATCTTTCTTCTCTCAATCTGAGACCACACCATAAAAGCATTCATTGGTCTCTTTATATGATTTGTCACTTTCTTGCATTGGGTCGCATCAGTATATGGTGTCCGCGAATTCGTGTCCACCGATAGTGAACCAAAAGGCAGACACTTACCGCCCGAACTCAGCACTGGCTTTACATCCATTGTATCTCTATATGTGTTTATCTTTTCAATTGATTATTTAAGTCTTTAAATGATCTTTAAGTGGAATCAATTGCGGTGACAGTTATTTCATTGGTCTTCAAATCGGTTGACGACACATAAGATGTCTTTTAATACTGTTATTTGAATCACTGATAGATTTGGTATCAAATCATATGTAAATTAATTACTGTTTTGTTTCCACGTTTTGGGCCACAAATCAATACTATATAGCAATTGAAGTCAACTTTCAAATCAATAAAACATCACTTGTTTTATAACATTTGATAAAAAGCACTGTTTTTACTGTTTGTTAAGCAAATACTTTCACTTATTATTAGTTGAATTTTTTGCACAACAAATATCATATGAGATATGTGTATATCTTATATAATTTAATATATAAAATTACTTTTACTTTTATTATTATTAGTATTATATAATTTTAATGATAATATTATCCAGCAATTGATTTATAATATGACTCTTACTTATAACTAGTTTTTATTATTGCATTCAATCAACTTTTTATTTTAATAAACAGTCGCTTTTTATTATACAAATTATATACGAAAAAAGCTTTTGGCTTTCAATTAATAACTACGATATTATATTTGAAAAATATCAATAAATTAATTTAAACTTTTATAATATATTTATTACAATTATACACTTTTATAAGTAAAATAAATTATTTTTAAAAATGTTGTTTATATTGAAATGAAGTTATATTTAAATCAAATTCACAGTCAAATCACTCAGTTTTTATCAATTTATCAAAACTTGAATCCTATTATCAATAAAAATTTGTTTTTCAAAAAGTTATTTACGAATAATATTATTATTATTATTAATATTAATATTGAATATAAAATTTATCTGTTATTTGGATTCACAATATAATATAAAAATAATTAATAAATATTATTATTACTAAAAACTTTGTTAAATTAAAAGATGTTTTCAGTACTGTAGTCGTCTCTTGACTGACAGTGTGTTTCACTATAAACACTGATATTTATATACACAGAGAGTGTGTGTGTGTTGTTGTGAGAGAGAGAGAGAGAGAGAGAGAGAGAGAGAGAGAGAGAGAGAGWGAAAAAGTGAGTCAATTATTATAATAGTTATTACAGTTGTTATGAAAAAAGTTTGTCGAGAACTGGTAGTAGTATTGGTAGTAATGATAGTATTTGGTAGTATTGGTTGGTTTTTAGTACCAGTTCTCTGGTCACGGATGAGACACTACTCTTAGGCAACGGTGTGTCCAAAAGCTCACTGATGTCTGCAATGCCAGAGTAACCGCTGGAAGGATCTGATGGATCAGTTGAGTCCACTTTACGAGAGAGACAGAGCACAGCACTTAATATGTTGAACGGAGAAGCAGTCAAAGTGTTTCTCCCTATGCTTTCGTCTTTAACTCAGAGCAATACAAACGGGGATCAGTTKTGTACCACTATTTGAGTCAATGGGAAAGTCTATGTTTAGGCGCCGATAGGGGAACACAGAGTACTCTTGCAATGCCAGTGCTGTGTGTGTGTTGATAGGGACAACCAATAGGGATAGAGAAGCGAAAATAGGCTACAATTCAATGTCAACGCCCCGATCCCCCGATCAGACATTGCGGTCATTAAAATTTCAAGGACTGGCAGTTTTCGCGCCGTTCCCTACAATTGTGTGCTGCGCTGCATATGATTGTGCGTTCAATGAGTGAATCAGTGACGGACACACACATACATACAAACACATACATACAAACACATACATACAAACACATACATACAAACACATACATACAAACACATACATACAAACACATACATACATACAAACAAACACACAACCATACTATTGAAACCTATGGATTGCTATTTCCATATCCATAACCATATGACTACCAAAAGGTCACTACAATTCATATCAATACAACTAATCCTAAGTTTCAATCATTTACTTATAGACTGAAAATATATTTATATCTATATTAGTCATAACTATACGGAAGGAATCATTGATTTTCAGTTAATTAATTAGTTTTATCACTAATTATGATATTTATTATAATTTTTCAAATTAAACACTTAATTTTGATAATTTATCTATTAATATAAAAATAGGATCTGTCTATATGTAAGGATCCACTAGCTACCAGTGCTAGCAATATCACAGAATATTACAATATATATGATATTACTGTATATTAGAGGATACGCCACTTATGTATGTCTATATCTTCACGAATTATGAAAGATATTAATATATATTTTGTACACAATTTATTTAAAGACTTAAAAGTTTATTTTGAAAATAATATCATAGAATATAAGCAGAATTTGAACCCATTTTTCTGATAACATTTACAATGAATATATACTATAAATACAAATACAGTATCGTTGTATATATATATATATATATACATTATTTATTGAATTCATTATAATTGTGATAAAAAATATATCATAATGTCTTATTTTTACATTACATAATAGTAAAAATTAGTCGTAAAATAGCATAAAAATAAAAAATATAAGTAATCACCGGAGTTAAGTACTATACTTATATTAGATATATATTTGTAATAAAACAAGAAAAATTAATAATAATAAGAAAATAACATAAATATATAATAAATAATCAAATAAAAACATAAAACAAAAATTTCATAAGGAAATTAAAACCATATAAAAGTTGCATTCAATTACATTTCATGATTAAAAATATAAATATTTATTTCATTAGATTTTTTGTACATGAAAATATAATTTTTATAAACTTATGTTAAATAAATAATATAAAATTTATATAAAAAAATCTTATAACTAAAATTTAATCAAATGACAATTTTATTTCAGTTAAATTAAAGTCAAAAAATACAAATGTATTAATATTTCTTTGGATAAATTACGTAAGTCTTAGTTAAGTTTATATTATTTAATCTGTATTTACAAACATATTTAATGTTATATAAATAACTATAAATATAAATCAATTAAAAGTTGGTTAATATTTTTTTAATCAAGATTATGATGATTTTCATCTTTGTATTTTGGAAATTATATAAGATTTACTCTTAAAAACAAGTATCTTATATAATAACTAATGTAAAATATTGTATAATAATAATATTTATAAATTATTTCATTGCAAGAGAGAGAGAGAGAGAGAGAGAGAGAGAGAGAGAGAGAGAGCGAGAGAGAGAGAGATGCAATGCAAAACTTATTTCAGAGCAATAACTTAATGACAAATATATTTTTAAAAGAGATAACATTAAATCACATCATCAGTGAAAAACAAGTTTCTTAAATAATCTTATGTTTGATGAGATGTATAAACTGAACATATTTTTGGGTTTATTTCAAGAAAAAGTAACTCAAATGATTAGAAAATTGAATATTAAATACGGCTTAAAATATTCTGAATATGAAACTACAGTTCATTTGAAACATTAGTACAAACTCATAATATTATGCATATCATGCCATAATAATAATCATACTGTTACTAGCATTGCCAACTGTTCCGGATTGACCCGAATTAATTTTTACTTTACCAAAATAAATCGCAAATTTATAAGGTTATAGTTTTTAAACCTGATTAAAATATTAACACAATTAAAACAAAGACTATATATAAAATAAATAATATTTTCCACTTATTTCTAATAAATTATTATAAAAACTATATTATTATATTATAAATTACTACAAATTATCAGTAAAATAAGTGTAAAAGTTTTATATTAAATGATAAATATTTTTTATCCCGGATTATCCTAATCATTTTTTATCATTGTTTAACCAAATGTCCAGTTTGCAAAAATATAAATTAGCAATAATAAATTTAGCTCATATACAGTACAACTTGTGTGATTATTACATGTAATAAAAGAAAAAATAAACTTGTTTATTTTTATTTTTTTCTGGCTTAATAAAAAATTAATTAAAAGCTAAATATTGCATAATAATTAGCAATGTCTTTAACACCCAATATATATATAAATTCAATGACTACCAGTTCTGACATATGGAGCCTTGAGAMTACAGACTGTTTGTATAATCAAATATACATATTATTAAAAATAGCAAATATATACACATCAATCAATAGTTTTATAATTAAAGTTTTGATATTAACTAATAATTATTAAGTGGTTTAGTCTGTTAATAATTTTATGTAACTTTCTGTTAATATAATCACTAATAAATTCAAATACAATATATATATAATATATATTACAATAGATTTTTTATAATAAAATTTATATTTTATATATATATATATATATATTGCAAATCAAAAAACTTATTGAGACAAATAATATTGCATGTATTAAATTAATAACTAACAATAATACTGTATATATAATATCTTTATTTTAAACATTTTATTTGTTTATAAATAATTTATACRAAGTATATACTAAACTAAAACTGTATTATAGCTATAAATATATCTTATATTAGTGAAAATTATATATATTTAATAAATTTATGGATATATTAGAAAGACATTGATATATATGATAAAATGGTTAATAGATTGTATAAGAGATGAGAAGATGTACAGTATATTGTCAGTGGTTTGATTGTATCATTATTTCAGTACAATATATAAGATATAATACAGTAAACTCTTAAATATATTAATATATATATATAATATATGTCTACTGTTATTATATATTATAACAAACTGTATTTACAGTACTTGTATTATATTATATAATATAATCGATTGATGTAAAAGTATACACAATTCAGTGCAATGCACTGCCATTGGTATCAAAAAACTCTTAATAACATTACATTAGAGCTGTATTACTATWTACACATTGAAACAACACATACCWTACTTTTCAAACATATAAATTGCAACACATATTTAAAAGCAAAGAAATATATGTTATTTATTAAGTTGAATATCATTGAATTGAATCATTTTTTAGGTGCCATTAACTCATAATATATGATCAAATATATCAAATATATACATATACTCACATATGTATATTCAGCTCTAACTCTCATTTGTTATATTTTTGTTATTTTCGCTAATTTTCTGAATTCATTATTTAAATAGTGTTAAGCATAGAGTGTATAGTCTATGATATGGTTGAGTATGTGCTATGACTATGAGGTTAGAAGAGACACTGACCTATCGATTAGATACAAACACTACTCTATAGCAAAAAACTGTCATTAAATCAATATGTTTTTGATATATATATATATATATATATATATATTGTTTTTGATAATTGACTATTAGAGCTGAGAGTTTACAAGTGATTTAAAGAAACTTTTATATTGAAATTTATTAAATATACT